ACTATGGAAGTACCGAGGACAATTTTGATATAGAAATAAGACAAGTGTACAAAGTGATGTGAAAATATTGTTTGACTCCTTAAAGTATAGATTTAATCACATTGAAGAAGATTTAAAGTTGTGTTTTGGTCAAATGATGACGAAATACAAGTTTGGTATGGTTATAAGGTAATTAAAGATTGATAAAGAATTTGATTGATTAAGGATTTTGAGTGATAAGAACTGATGCTATTGGTTATATGATAAGTAACATGATAAGGATGTATAAAGGAAAAAGGTAGTTGAAGAACTAAGAGAAAGAAGGATTAAGTAAAAGAAGTAACATAAGAACATTAGAAGATATGTTCTTACTAAGTTGTTTAGTGAAAAATTCGAGGACGAATTTTTTTTAAAAGGAGGGGAGATTTGTAACATCCGCAATACCGGGTTAGTGACCAAATTGTCAAGTTTCAGAATTTGGTGACTAAAGTAGAAGAATGAAAGAATTCAATGATTATTTGAATATATATATTGAAGGTTATTTGGTAATTATTAAAGGAAATTAAGGGTATTATGGTCATTTGACCAGAAAGATTTTTTATATTTTTTTTAAGGGTAATAAGCACGTATGAAGAAGAGTCCAGAGCATTCTTCAGTCTTCTTCTTCCTCCTCTCCACCGTGAAGCTTGGTATAAGGTAAGTGAGTCTTTAGTTGGTTAATTCTTTCGTTTTAAAGCTTGTTTTGATTCTTGGGATATTAAGAAAGATTAAGGAAAGCTTTAAGTGGCTTAAACCTCAAAGATTAACAAGTTATGAGAAATTAAGAAAAATGAGTTTTTAAGTGAATTTTTGATATGGAAGGAGTTAATAGATTGTGAAGTTGAATTTGACTTGTCAAGGATTAAATTAAGAGATATGAAGTGATAGAATGAGAATTAGAACACATTGAAAATTTGGTATGATTTTTGAATCTTATATGGAAGATAGAATTTTGAGTTTAAAGAAGTGATTATGGAGTAGAAATGAGTTTAAGTATGTGTATGAAAGTTAGGAATATTAAAGGGAATGAAATATGATGTGTTGAGCTGAAAATGAAGGATTTTCGAGCTCAAAATATGATTTCTGGGCAAGGGGAATCGGTACCCATTCAAGGGGAACCGATACCCCTTCAAACGAACAAGAATTTCCAGTATGTCATAGGGGAACCGATACCCCCATGGGGGGGGGAACCGATTCCCCTAAAGGAAAATTGGGGATATGGATTTAATAAGTTCGTTTAAATTGATAGTATCCAATTACAAGGTGTAGGTATCTAATGATGGTCTCGAAATGTACATTTATGTAGATTCTACGCATAAAGCAATTCCGGAACGTTTAGCAAGTAAGATCGATCAAGGGAAAGATAAGAGATTGGATTTGGCTAGTGAGGCCAGGTGAGTGCATATTAGTTAGTTTATGGTGCTAAATGGAAACAAGACTTGCGACAAGTCTATTTCCTATGTTAGAATGCATGAATATATGATTATACGTATATGAATGACATGAATTGTATGTATGCATGAATATATGTGCTGACATGCTTTTGAATGTAATGTTATGAGAAGTATGTGCTATATAAGGTATATATATATACATATGTCAAACTGAACTATGTGACTGCATGAGAAAGATATGAGCCATATGACATGATATAGGTGAACATGAGAAAGCAAAGTATGAGATATAAACTATGTGATCATAGTAAATATAATTATATTTTTATATGATAAGTGAAATAAACTGGATAATATTGATCTATAGGATGAAGTGAAAATAGTACACCAACTAGGGGATTTGAACATAAATGATAAGATGAACGTATAAGATAAGCTAGATGGGAAAGATTCATAGGTTTAAATAAAACTATAACACATGGGTTGAATGATAGAAATTTGTGAAGTTATATGAGAAGATTATAAGAGCTTCATGAAATTAAATTAAGTAACAGATTAGATTATATATAGAAATAATAGAAGTAAGATATGTTTATAAGTCTGCCCTAGATGAATACGAAATATAAGAGTGCTATATGATTTATATTAGGATAATCTTGAGGATATATATATATATATAGATAGATATGAAATGAAATGAAATGAGTTATATGAATACCCAATTATGTGATGAAATGGTGAATTACCTGAACATGTGAATATATATATATATATATATGTTTAAGAGAAGGCATACGATTAAGATATAAGCAATGTGACTATAAGTATATGTGCTTTAAGTGATATGACTTATAAGTATTTCTATTATAATGTTACATGATATGTTATGTATGTTAAAGGAATTATGTGATGGTATAAGAATTGATAGGAAATATATATGTGAAAACAAGTATATGTTACGAGACAAAACCTATGACTATAAGCTACGTGAAAATGTTCTAGGTGTTTCGATATATTATATGAAGTATATGATCTTAGGTGAACAAGATATGATAAGTATGTTTACATGAATACAGTTGATTGGGTGAGAAATGATAGAAATTATATGAAAACATGACATATATGACATGTGAATTATATGGAAATGATCTACGGGTAAGTGAACTACGTGACTATGTGATCATATGAAAAGAAGCTATGTGATACGTGATAGGTGAAAGTGAATTACAAGTTTATGTGTATATTTGAAATGAAATAAATGATAACGCCCATGTTATGTGTCATGAGAGCTAGGGGTATAGTTGGCATGCCAAGAGTCGAGGGTTTATTCGGTTCTTTAGGACATATGTATATCCTTTGGAACCTGTGTGAAGTCTTGAAAGACACATACTTGATCCATAGTATATGTATATGATTCTTAAGGAATTCTACGTGGTCCTTATGGACATCATTCTACGGGCACTACGGTGCAATTCTACGGGCACTTCGGTGCAATTCTACGGGCACTTCGGTGCAATTCTACGAGGCACTTCGGTGCATTTATACGAGCTGTGGTGACAGCATAGTGCACAACCTCTATAGGCTCACATATCGATAGTTCTCACATATATACATGGGCTAATCCAGAGATATGAACAAATATAAGTTAGTGGTATGATAAATGCTATAGAAATTATATGATGTTGTGTGTATAGTGTTTGATTGAAAAAATATGTGATTATATGATAACATGTGAATGATGAATTATGTGTATGTATGAATTTACTGCGATTAATCTGATATGATTCTATACGATATGAAAAATGCCTGGAATTGCTATAACATGATAGAACAGAACATGCATGTATCAATATATGTTTTAAAGTGCATTATAAGTGGTTATGCCTCACTAAGTCTTCGACTTAGCGTGTGATTGTTTCACACGTAGGTTTCGAGAAGAGTAAGGAGGGATGCGGAGCAAGACAGGTCAGTTTTCCTTACCAAAAGATCAGATCAGAAATATTTGTCAAAGTATGTATTGGGTTATGTATAAAGTGTTGGCATGTAATAAGTCATTAAATACGAGCACTCTGATAAAGTCTTTATTTTGATTTAATAAAGTTTTAAATTTCTCGGGATTTTTCTTAAGAGTCAAGGTTTGAAAAGTTAATGTGACACTTCGGACTCGTATCCGGGTCGGATACGGGTTGGGGGTGTTACACTCCATATGAAATTCAAGAATTACACCAACTTTGCAACATGTTCTAAATTTAATTATATCACTTCATATCTCTTAATTAAGTTGATGACAAGTCAAATTCAACTTTCAAATCTTATTATAAACTCTATTTCAAGATTTCACTCAAGAACTCTAAATCTTTAATCTTTCCTAACTCCTTTATCTTTTGATTTTAAGATAACTTAAGCTTTCCTTAAGCTTAGTTATCATCTAATGATCAAAACTCACTCTTAAAATCAACAAATAATTAGCTAACCAGAAAACTCACCATTAATGGAGGCCTACGGGGAAAAGGAGGAGAAGAAGAAAATAAGGAGATAAGCTTCCAGATACTCCCTCACTCCCCCATGTTTATCTCTTAAATAAGATATAAATATCTTTTACATGAAAAGACTACCTTATCCTTCATACTTTCATTCCTCGTAATTAAATCCAATACCAGAATATTTCACTTTAAATCCCTGAACTTTTCAATAAATTCTACTTTAATCAGTAACCCATAGTTTGGGATTGTACACCGACTATTAGGGGTGCACCCTGAGTGATCACTCATGGCCTCATCTTTTATAGGACCTCTAATTTTTCATTATATTTTTTTATAATTAAGTCTTTTAATTTTTTTTATCTTTATAATTGAGACCCCTAATTTTTGTAACCTTATTTTTTATCTTTATAATTAAGGCCTTTAATTTTTTTCACTCCTACTTTTTTTTATATTTATAATTGATGATACTAAGTTTTTCAATCCCACTTTGTACTTTTATAATTGAGTTCCTATTTTTTTCAATCTCACTTTCTACCTTTATAATTGAGGCCCCTAATTTTTTCAATCTCACCTTTTACTTTTATAATTGATGCCCTAATTTTTTCGATCTCACTTTTTACTTATATAATTTAAGCCCTTAAATATTTTCAATCTCACTTTTTACTTTAAATTGAGACCCTAAATTTTTTAATCTCACTTTTTGACTTTATAATTGAGATCCCTAATTTTTCAATAATACTTTTTACTTTTATAATTTAAGCCCCTAATTTAATCATTTTCTACAATTTATTAATGTAATATTAAATTAATTGTTCAAAGTAATAGAATATACTTTTTTATAAGTGTCTATATTTTAGTTTCGTTTAAGGTCCCAAAAATATCCGATATGGCTCTAAAAATAAAACTAAAACATAATGTTAAATATGATTTAAAAAAAATTAAATGGCCAAAATGAAATAAAAGTGATAGTTAAGATACTAAATATGTAGTTTACCATAAAAATTGTTACCGCGACTGGAATTCCAGCTCCAAACTTCTGCCACATAAACAACGTAAAAAATACGTCAAACACTACTTTCGACGGTTGATTTAACTTTCCATTGTTTGTTCTCCAAAAGAAAAAGGAAGGAAAAAAATTGAAAATTGGAAAATCTATGGCGACCATGTCTTCAAGAATTGTTATCGGCTATCCAAATCTTAAATCCCAATTCCCTTCAGTCATTTCTTCTTCTTTTCACTTCCTTACTCCGAAGAAAGTTAGCTTTAAACCCACCAAGCAAATCACTTTGAAAGGCAACGCTGGTGGTAACTCCCGTTTCATGGTCAAGGTCTCTTCTTCTCCTGCCCCTGAATTCTCCACCAACATCGGCGATATACTCGGCGAAGTTACCGTTTTCACCGCTTCGGGTCAACCGGTTTTGTTCAGAGACCTTTGGGACCAAAATGAGGTATATATTATTCCTATCAATTTACGTTCAAATTTAATCAGTTTTTGTTTAAAACGATGGTTTTTTTGGGGGAAAACAAATTTGTTAACGACCGGAATTTTGATTCAGGGAGTAGCTGTGGTTGCATTCTTGAGGCATTTCGGATGCTTTTGTTGGTAAAAGTATTTATGAGCCCATCTTTGTTAATTTATGAAATTGGGTCTTTCAACTAATCGATTTATATGTATCTTCGAAGTTGGGAACTTGCTTCAGTTCTGAAAGAAGCAATGCCTAAATTTGATTCAGCTGGTGTGAAATTAATTGTTGTTGGCGTTGGCACTCCCGATAAAGCTCGTATCCTTGCAGAGAGGGTATGTCTTTGGAGTGTTTCTTCATTTCCCTGTGTATTTCTTTCAAGGAAAACGAAAATTGGAGCTAATTTACCACTTGCATTCATGGAATTTGCAGGTTCCCTTTCCAATGGACTCCCTTTATGCTGATCCTGAACGCAAGGTAATATGTTAGCTATCTATTGAAACAAGATTATGTTGCTATGTTATACGGACTTAAGTGTGAGTATAGGGGTTACGAGTATGTGTTTGATGCGATATGTTCTTGTTGATTGGAATAAGTTGGTCCCGCCATTTTCTTTTGATTTAGACTGAGATGCATAGTGGATAAAGATTTGACCGTGGGCTGGTGGTTAATCTATGTGAGAAGAAGAGTGAAGGTAGAAGGAAAAAAGCAACGTAGGTGTGTGAGCTGGAGTTAAAGAGAGAGAATCCTTCTTTAGCTCTTTTCTCCGGGTATAAATACTCCGGTTATAAGATGATTGATGTTAGGCTTAAGATAATCATGTCTGTTAGTAGACTGGCAGATTATGTAGATATGCTTGTTAACTATAAGATTTGACTCTATCGAAGATCACATAAAAGACGATGGATTATGGTTATGGACTTGTGGACGATCAGGGGATAGTTTCAGAGATGATGTAATGTTTTCAGAGAACTTTTGGAGCTCTATTTTTATTAAAATTTCCATGTATTTAAGGGTCAAATCATATACTCCGGAGAAAAATGACGATTTGGGGTAAGATATGTTATACTCATCAATCATGCCCTTGTTGTCTTTCAGGCATATGATGTTCTGGGCTTATACTATGGTCTTGGGCGCACATTTTTCAATCCGGCCAGTGTAATTTCCATTCTCATCTTGCAAGAAAGTACATTTCTTGTTCATAGAAAGACACTTGTTAACCGATTGTATGAATTTCATATGTATGTACAGGCAAAGGTGTTCTCAAGAGTTGATCAAGTGAAGAAAGCTATGGAAAACTATACCATCAAGGCAACCCCAGATGACGTGAGCAGTGTATTACAACAGGTTTGTGAATTTCTCTTATCAGTCTTCATGATCCGTGCCCTGGTTTATATCGGCCGGATGATCGATTCGGTTCTTTTATCAGGGAGGGATGTTTGTCTTCAAAGGTAATCAATTGTTGTACGCACGAAAAGACGAAGGGACGGGCGATCATGCTCCTTTAGACGACATCTTTGATGTTTGCCGCAGAACTCCAGTTGCATGAAGTGTTTTGTAAACTGTATATTATTCGATTTGTCACTTTTGACAGATATTACTTTATAATTATCTCATACTATTTAAAAAAGTTTACATATTTTGATCAAACTATGAGTACTGTTATGAATTTTGATTTGTATACATTTTAGTCCTTACTCTATTTTAAAACTTGGATCTTTTTGGAGATGATTTAATTTTGCTTATCTAAACTTCAAATTGATCCGAGATGGATGGTGTTACGTGTTTATCTCATAAAGACTTGGCCTGTGTTGAAGTGGTTTTGAGTGACAGTGAAGGATAAAAAGGGTATAAAAGTTCAACATTAGATTAATTTGACTTAAAATATAATATTTTGGTTAATTAGGATATTAGATTGTTAGTTATAAGGTTATAGTGATTTAAGGTTTTAATTATTTCTAGAAGTACTTGTTGGTTCCACATATTATGTGATTCAAACATGATTTTCAAAATGATTTTTGGGATTAATTTCTGAAATTATACAAAACCAATTTGGTTAACATATTATTTGATGAATGGAGTATAAATTCTAAGTATCTACGTGATTATAATTTTAATTTATTTTTCTCCAATTACTAACGTAGTTACCAACGTGGAACCATTTTATGTTTATTTTTTATAATCAAAGTTATAAACTAAACACATTAAGAATATTTTTTTTCTATAACTATTAACACAAGAAATTAGCTACTTAAGCAGTAGTAGAATTTGGTGACGTTGTTTGGAGGGGTCAACTTAAACTTTAAAAATGTAGAGATTTAAATTAAAATTCTTAAAAATTTTAAAGGGTTCGGTTTATATTTTTCAAAAAAATTGGGGCCTAACTAAAGTTTTTAAAATTTTGAGAGGTCTAATGAGAATTTTTAAAAATTATGGGAGGGATTTAATTAAAAATATTCAAAAAATTTAAAGCTTAATCTAATTGAGCGATTGATAAACTGTATTGATAAACAAACCATAAAAATGATTAACATAATGAAAGACCATTGATAAACCACAAATCATAATTGAGCGATGTGAGAACTATCTACGAATGCAAATCACGTATCAAAATCTAATCTAAGTGTCCAAAGTAGGAAGACCAGTATGATGATAAATAAGTGTTAACTTGATCAATCGTGTTGATATCAAACTCAATCTTAAGAAAAATGATAAATGAAAATAATGATCAAACGATCGAAAATATGTCAAGAGATAGATAGATACATACAAAAAGGTGAAATTATTAAAAATAAAAATATATAATATAATAAAATAAAGAAAAAAAGGATATCAGCGAAGCTAGTACCGTCGTATGTTGCAAAGATAAAGGAAAAAAGAGATTAACGATGATACAAAGAAAAAAATATGAGTGAAAATACTTCAAAATGTATATAACTTTTTTTGGATTAATTTGAGATAAATACAAGGCAAATAACTCTCAACTATTTGACATTGAACTCATCCCTGACATTTCTGGTCCTCAAACCCTTAATTTCAAAAAATAACAACAATTCACTTGGCTCATGCTTCCAAATGTGTATAACCAAATCAAAATAAAATTACATATCTAAAATTAAGACTCGATGACTTTTGCATGACGTCTAGAAGACTAGACGATTTCTCCAAGATGCATGCATGCTTGCAAACTATGTCTTCTTGAGAGACGTCTTATCTTCCACAAATCTTTTAGAAGTCGTCAAATCTTCTGGACATCTTTTAAAAATTGTCAGATAACTCGAACATCTTTTATAAGATATTGTAATATCTACACTATAGTTTTTTAGTAAATTAATTTAAAGTTAATATTTAAAAATATATATATATATAACAAATTAACTTTGCTGGAGCCCATGGCCATTCCCTACTAAAACCCACAGTTATTCAAACCAAAGGCATTGACCCAATTGTGTCAGAATCTAAAAAAGCTCATATAATATCTCCAATATAAATATCTTTTGTTCATGTGACGCCTCTATAAATATCACCCTTATAACCTAGGTCAGTTTGGTTTTTAAGAAAAAAAATTAAAAAGTGCAGTAAAAAATAATTTTTAAAAGTAAAATTTAAAATTTATCTATTTGAGATTATTGTTAAAAATGATTTTAAAAAGATAAAATGACAATTTTAGACATTATATTATATATTGAAAATATAATATTTAATGATAAAAATATAATTTCACTCAAAAGAGATTTTTCACGACAAAAAATTAGAAATTTGTGATTTTGAGGTTAAATTAAATTTTTTGAAAGAGGCGTTTTGTACCATTGAGACTTTTAGGGAAAACAATACTCTTTTTCAACCATCGAGACCACTTAATAGATTTTCATTGATTTAGATTTTTAAAATATATATTTTTACCATTGATTGCGTCCATATTCTTCAATGTATAATGATAACATGTTATGGTAATTGGTATATGATCATAGACAAGTTCATGGATGAAAGCATGAAAGGGTGCGTATACATGTTAATTAAATTTGAGAAATTAAGATGTTGTAAAGATAATTTTAGTAGTTCATGATGTTGATAAAGATGGAAAGTGTTAAGGAATGCCATTTGTGCAAAATGGAAAGGTTTGATAACTTGTGACAAATGTATTAATATGTAAACTCGGTAAAAGCATTAAAAATAGCTTTAAATTATAGATTTTGTATGTCAAATGAATGGTATGAACTTGAATTGAAGCGATGATCACTTGTTTGTGTCTTGTTTGTTGGGATTATAATGTAAGTTGAGTGTATTTTATTGTCAAATAGTAATGCAGATGGACTAAAGTAAGTTGAAATACAAAAAATAATTTCCCAAGTCTATGGAAATCGGATAGAGAATCTCCTCTAATGGTACAATCTTTGGAATGCAACTACCTTGGACTTCTATCAAAGGAAAACCAGAGACGATGAAACAAACATTGAGAGATATTATAAAATGGGTGAGAATCGGAGCAACAGTTGTTGGATCACTTTTGTATGTATATTGTGTTCATATCTATTCTCATATCATATTTGAAGTTACGAGATCCGAGAGATAGTATATGTGAAAGGCTTATTAGTTATGAGCAAAACATTCAGAATCCAACCATTAATCATCTACCACCGCTATGCCCTGATTTATTCTGCATCTTTTGCAGTGCAGGTTGAACCACTGAAAAAATGGAAGTCTTTTGCTTCTTTTGTTTCGCGCCGAAGATGAACGACCTCAACGGCACGTTCGATCGAACTTCCGCCGTGCCGCTGCCGTGGTGGCTCTTCGAACCCGACAGTCCCCAGTCGTCACTCAACTTGGACAGTGCCCTATCTGCATCACGCTGCAATGATGTTGCCAGTTCCAAACCAGCTTGTAATTCGTCGCCAACCCTCTTGTTCTCCTTCTTCATGTTCAATATTTCGCCTTGGAATTTCGCTGCCTGAAAACTCGTGAACCTGAACTCGTCACCTTCGGCACTCGCCTTCAGTGCTTTGGTGATCTCCTCTTGGATTTCGCATAAAGATGCCGACCTGTTCTTCAGTTCTTCTTTCAGTGACATTCCCTTTTCGATCCACAGATTCAGTTCGGTCTGCATTTCTCTCAGGTGCTTGTATAATGGTCGGACGTCTGAATTTGCCGAGTATTTCGATGTGCTACTTCCTTCGTTCTTTTGTCTTTCCTCCAGTTTCACTACCTCTGCTTCTAAATCTTTAACCCCGGCTTGGTACTTTTGAACTTCGTATAATGTTGAGCTGAATCTGAACCAGAAATCCAAGTTCTCTTCCAGCAGTTCGTCGATGTCGGTCCGGAACTTCTCTTCGATGGCGGATGTAGGTTCAGGGTCGTGAACCGGCTTTTGGAGCTTTATCGAACCTTCGTCTTCTTCCACCTTTTTCTTGACCGGTTGAGGTGCTTCTGTTGTTTTGGTTTCGGACTCTGGTGATATCTCGAAACATTCGTGGGTTTCATCTTCGTCCTTGGGCTTACCGATACCGGTCTGGCCACGGATTAGTTTCAGACGTAAAGATCGAATCTCTTCGTCTTTCTTGGTGATAAGGTTCTTCAATTCTTTTAACTGCAACGTTATCTCAAAGAGTTCGTTCTGATGATTTGTTTCGACTTCCATGAGCTTCTTCTTGGTTTCCTCCAAGGTCTGGGACAGTGCAGCTAATTCATGTTCTTTCAAATCAGATTTGGACACTGTGTCGGCTATCAGTGATGATGCTTGTCCAACGACTTTAGCCATTGCTTTCAGATAATCAGATGTTTCTGAAGCCTTAGAACTCTCCTCTCCTTCGTTTGCGGATTTCGGGACGGAATTTAGTTCTTTCGATGCATCGGCAGCACCTTTGTTTGCAGATTTTGGGACGGAATTTACTTCTTTCGATGCACTGGCACCATCAACAGCGGATTTTGCTGTCGAATTTAGTCCTTTTGATGCATCAGCATCGACATTGGCAGGTACCGGGACGGAATTTAGTTCTTTCGACACATTGGCATTGTTGGTTGTAACACGTTCTTCAGATTCTGCTTTCGGCTTCAAGAACTCTTTCCCTGCTTTCGCCTTCTTTGGCTTCTCTTTCGTTTCGTTCTTCGGCAATGCCGATGAGCTTTTCAGGGCTTCGAGATTCTCGATCGGCTGCACATTCTGGGAAAGTTCATCAAGATTAGACTGTGCATCTTTGAAACGAGATTGTAGATTTGTCTTTTGGTTTTCAATACTGTGGTTCAAATCCTGAATCCCTTGCCACTTGAGCTCCAAGTTGATTATCTTCATCTTCAAATCCTGGTTTCCATCCACCAGGTTAGCCTTACCCTCTTCTAAGCTTTGAATTAGGCCTTGAAGTTCATCATTTTCTGATTTTAATCTATGAATAAGAGCTTCCTGAGACGAATTTGAAGTTTCTAGGCTCGTCACCTTATTCACCAGCACATCAATCTTCTCCGCCACGTCGACCTCGGAATCACCATCTCCAGCCTCCGATTCCGTATCGTGGGCGATATTATGCGCATTTTCTTTCCTTTTTTTCGCCCTTTCATCTGCAATTTTGGTCACTTCCGCTGCGGATACTTTCGAAAGGAACACTTTCTTCAAAGCATCCACCTTCGCCCTTGCTGCGATGATCTTCTTTTGTTCGACTTCGGCTTTGACAGCTGATCTCTCGTATCTCTTTATCAGCTCCTCCAATGTCTCTTTGCACGACTTAAAAACGGTCGCCGCCATCAAATTCCGAGCTTCGTTGTCTTCGATCACCTTACCTTCGCCGAATTCATCTTGCAAACTATTAACTTTCTGTTGCTCTTCCTTGATCTCATTCTCAACTTCCCTGTACTTGACCAATCTACTCTCATAAGAACTCTTAAAAAATTCCTTCTCGGTCTGCAACGCCAGGATTCGTTTCTGAATCCGATCGATCTCACCGATTCCCTCCTCCTTGGTCAGACCGGAGGACTTGTTCACGGACGAAACATGCTGTTTCGTCACCTTCTTCTCTTGCACTTTCTTCTTCGTATTGGTTATGAATTTCAATTCTTTAACGGGTAGCTTGGGAACACTGGGGGCTTTGCCCATGTTATCCGAAGGCTTTTTCGGGAACATTGATGGGCAATCGAAGTCATCGTCATCGTCCAAGCCCCTGACTTGATCGGGACAAATTGCAGCAATAGTGTTGTTGGCATTCTGTAGCTCGGTTGATAAGTGATCATATCGATCAGCTAAGGCACGGTAAGCTCGGAAAAATTCTTCCACGAAATTTATGATCTCAGGTCTCTTTCTGTAATACATTTCGGCTTTCTGGATAAAGGAGTCCCCATCTTCTTCGATCAGTTTAAGCACAGCAGATACCTTTTCCTCCATATCTGCAAATTTTCCCACTTTTCCAAATTAATATCCATATCCAAATTAGAATTCTTTTGCATTGGACATGTTAAACAAAAAAACACAAAAAAAACCCAGAAATTCTTATGCATTCAACATTAATAGATGTACATTACCTTGAAGGTTTTGCTCCATCCATTTTGATTGCTTAGTTCTGATATGGCTAGCCATCCACCATGAGTAGGCATTGCTAGCAGCTCTTTGCAACATCTTTGGTTACTTTTTTTTAAGAACAAAACCACCAAAACAGTTTGCAGAGGAAAGGTTTGTTTTAAGGTAAATTAAGACTCCCCCATGAAGCATCCAAAAAAAAAACCTCTTTTATCTTCCAATAAAATAAAGAGTAGACATGGGAAAGCTAATCAAAGAGAAAAATTGGGGAAGATGGAGCGAAGAATAAGATAAATTTTCCTAGTTTTGAAAGTGAAATATGAAAAACAATGAAATTTGTTGTGTTTTTTTGGTTTCATTTGCTTTTGTTATGGAATCATGGAAGCGAGCAAACCTCGCCCCAATTATATGCTTGAGACAACGAAGCTTTCTTTGTGGCATGTTTTTTTAAACAATCACAAGAGAAAAATAGTTTAAGAGTTTTCAGCCACTGACCTTTCTCCACGTGGCGACCTGTCTTTTTATCAGGGTGTTCACAGTTGTCGGATTGGGAATTAGGATATTTTCCCCTTTTTTCCATTTAACCGACTTTTTCTATTTTTATTTTATTTAATAAATAACATGTTGAGATGTTATTTTCTTTGGGAGATAATGTTCAGCCATATTACTATTTTTTTAAGGATGAATGATACATTCATTAGTTAAACTTCTCACTCGAGGAAGCATGTAAGATTTTATTATTCTTTTGTAATAAGTCGATGGTATAAATTATCGAAAGATTTTTTTTTTGATAGAATCGAAATATAAATTTTTAAAATTTAATGGACAAGATAAATAAAATAAGAAAGTATCTTATGAGATTATAAAATATTGTGAAGCACGAATCAAACTTACCTCAATAGTTAAAAGAATTATTATTGTTCCTAAAGGTCCCAAGTTTGACACTAACAATTACAGTAAGATAATTGAACGGTCATTGTCAAATATTTAAGAGTATTAAAAACATATATTGTCCATTATAATCATCTTAATTTAATAAAAAAAATAAAACATGCCGCGAAGAACTATAACTTACAAGTCTTCTTCATATGTGCAGGTCGTTTTGGAAGGCATTTGGAAATATATATATATATCTGATTGAATGATAAGAATTATTCACAGTAGAACTTGAGCTGAAAGCAAAGTCCATTTCTTTTCCTGCATATTTACAGCATAACTATCTACAGAAACCAAAAAACAAGAGCAGCCATTTTCTTCATGTTTCCACAGATCACTTCAACTGCATTGTAAGCAGAAAGGATGATTTAACAGAACAGAGTGACAAACACGAAACATTAATGTTCTCCAGAGTCCATCTTTAAGGCAAACATCTCGATTTTCCATGGATGTTGACCCCCTCACATTCCACCAGAATCTAAAGCAAATCATTGCCTCTTGCCGGTACCGGACACCTGTTCTTACATTATTCGCAAATACTAGAAATATGATCACTTCAAGTGTACTTTCGTCTGAAATATTTATGGGAGATTTCATCTATATAGTAGGAAACCACTGCTGGAAGGAGTCCCCTCTGCATATTTATAACCAAAATGCAATAGAGAATGTTGGTATGCATGAAGAATTCTTCAGCCTGCAAAAAAAGCACCGATTTTAAACACGAAAAATCCCAATGCAGCATGTACAAACATTGAAACACTTGAATCACACGTCTTCAAGTTCAACAGAGTTAAAGATGATAAATCCAAAGCTCCAGTCCGTGAAATAGAAAGCTCTCACACAACAGTGCACAGCGGATTGTGGTTGAAATTGTTTTCAATACATATGCAAAGCTTAACCGTTTACAAGTAAATCGAGCATTGGGAAACACAAGTTTCTTTACACTTCGATCTATGAGTCCATGAAACGTCGACTATAATGGGTTGCTCGAGAATAAGATTGCAACAGATGGTGCAATAAGTGCTCCCTGAAAACTGATACTGCAGAGCTTACTGATACATTTGGACAAGTTGCATCAAAGATCACCTACCAATACCTTTCTATCTGATGCTTTCAACTCAGAATCCACCTAAATCAGACCCTAATGCTCACGCAAAGTGCGCACCTTCCATGAAAAGAACAAAGGGGACGTCCCTTCAAGTTCTACATACTAGAGGTTGAGCCTAATGCTCACTAAGTCTAAAGAACCATGTTAAGTTAAACCAGTGCAAATGTGAAGCTCTAGATTTCGTCGAAATGTATGTCATTCAGAGGCTTTCCCTAGTAATGCCACCCACCACAGGGATTTTGTGCGAATAGAACTTCGTATCCAACAGATATCTGAACATATTTAGACATGGATATGAAATATGATACTCTAAGACTGTCTCCCATATTCAAGAAAAAAAAATCAAATAATCAAACATTCCAATATTGTACCCGTATCCGACGCACACATAAAGTCCAAGTAACAAAGTTGTGCAATGATCATCCAGGTATGCAATACAATACATCACTTATGAATTATGACACTGCCTTGCAAAATCTGTATCAACTTCAAAGTTCTCAACACCTTCAAAGTACCTAACACTGGTGTTTCCATCAGGCAGAAACAGCAAAAACTTACAATCAGGCATTGAAAGGAATGAGGAACGATCTCAACGACTTGATAAATATAGATATAGTCCTTTAACTTAACATAAGGATTCGGTACAATAAATTCTTGATTGCACTCGAGAGCTGGTTATTAGGGCCTTGTACAAGTTCTTTGCAACCACGCTTATAACAAGGAACCAGCACAACAAATCCACCATCATCATCATCCTCATCAACTTGAAAACCAGGACCATGGGGTTCTTCCCATCCAATCGACCATTCTGGACCATCAGATTCATATCCAGATAAAAGCAAACCATCCGATTGAACCACCCTTGTCTTCTCACAAGCTGGCCGCTTTCCCTTTGAAGGGGCTATCTTTGTTTGGAACTTAACAGTGTCAGAAGAAGACGATGAAGAGTTCAAAGAAGACTCATTTAAAATAAGTTGTTTATCTTTCTTCCCAACACTCCGAAACCACCACGGGAACCCAGAAAGAGAAACTGCCATTTTTTTTGTTGAAAAATCTCTACCTTTTTCTTGCAATGAACCACAACACTAGGAAATTATCAAATCGAGTTAATAGAAAAAACAAGATCAAATTTGGAAATTTAATGATTGAATCCAACAAATTTTTTGAATCAAAATTAAAATCAAAAGCTTGTGAACTGAACTCAAGTACACTGACTTCAGCATAGAGTTGTTTCTTTCAAAAAACAATCAAACCCAGACAAGCTTATGATCCAATCAAAAGAGGTTTTATTTTTTGGTCTACACTTTTATGACTCTTTTCTCTAAACCTCAAACTCGTCAAACCAAAGTTCATCAAAAAGTCGACAAACAGAAAAGCTCAAAATTTTACCAAATATTACAGCTTCTACTGCGAGAAACAGCTGAAAATTCAAAAGGTGATTTTCAGCGCTATTAACGGCGAAACTAGAATCGGAAGAAAAAAGCGTCAACGGAAGATAAAATACACGTTGAATTATCTGGTTAAAAAAGTAATAAAATAAGAAGGTAAAATTCAACACATGACTGGAGATTGGAGATTGGAGATGGGGAGAAATAAACTTTCAATCAAAGAAAAATTAAAGGGAAAATCGAAAACCCTAATATTATCTCTCACACATTTCCATTTTCTTGCTTTATTTGTCCTTCCTACCGTGAAGAATCAATCTGAGAGAATCTGTCTTCGTCCACCATTTATACAGTTTTCTTCTTCTTCTTTTTAATCAAAGAACACCAGACAGTTGGGCGATTTTCGGAGGTGATCTGTATATATACCGATCTAATATCGATTAGATTATATTTTTTGATCTAATACCCGTAGCAGTAAAGCGCGTCCCTGAACCGAACCACGTTATATGTTGATTTGGACTCCCCATGTACCGCGCTATACGCTGACTAAGTAACACGTGAGGTATAGCGCGCCCCCTGCTCCGCGCTATATGCCACGTAGGGTCCGCGCTATACGCCGTACCAAAATTATATTTAACGTGGTCCATGATCCGCGTTATATAATAATTACATATAATGCGTTACAAGTATCGCGCCTTATATGTTTATAAATACCTCCCGTTCTGGCATCTCTCCTCACATCTCATCGCATCTCTCATCTCTTATAAATTAATACAACAATTCCGTCAACGAGTAATAATTCTGACAATCTTATTATATTTGATTTAGAAGTTCGTGCGATTTTTTGTTATAAGGTAATTTTGTTATAATTTTTTAATTATACTTATTGTTTATTATCATTATTTAAAAAAATATTATACTAATTATTTTTAATTAATTTTTATGTTTGTAAAATTGAAAAGCGGGAGCATACGTCGAAATAGTTTTGCGGTGCAGGTAATAATATAAAATTATATTATTTAAATTATTTACGTTGATGTGTAAAAAAAAATTGTGTTATATTTTCGTTCATATATAATTTATTTAATCATGTTTGTTTAAGTTTTTTTTTGCAGATATAATATTGTCGTACTTTTAAACTCAAAGAATGACGCGACTTTCAGCTATTGTTTATTATGATGGTGAAATTCGAGAAGATGAAACCGGCGTTATTTTCGTATCAAATGAGCATGTTAAAATATCATTCAAGAGAAACATAACTCTTGAGGAGCTGATAACGAAGATTTCGAGGAAGATTCATTTTGGAAGTAACATATTCATGTCTGTAACAAGCTTCTCAAGAAGGCATGAAATGTTTCGTGTCACAGAGTTGTCGCGACCTCTTCAAGGGATTGAAGCTGTGTCGTTAAGAGTAAATCTAAGGGACAGAACGTGCGACTGCAGGTTTTTTCAAGCTCTGAAGTATCCATGCTCTCATGAGATAGCAGCTTGCTCGCATACACGTCAAGACTATAACCATTTTGTGGATTCTGTATACCTACTATCTGAAGTTTTTAAGGTATACGAATTTGAGTCTCCCCAATAGGTAATGACAAAGACCCTGATGAGGTTTAAGATTGGCTTCCGATTGTACCAAATCCGAGTTTATTGAGGGAGCGTGGTCGTCCAAAATCCAATCGAATTCATTGCGATATGTATATTCGAGAAAGATCTAGACAAGACAGAAGATGTGGCCATTGTAGAAACCCAGGACACACTAGAAAAACATGTCCATTTCTGTTGTCATCAAGTAACAATTGATGAGGAAATGATGTATTTGTTTATCAAATAATAATTTTTGTATTTTAATTTGCATTTACTTCAAGTTAATGTCATTCGATAATCGCTGATGAAGATTAAAAAAACGAACACAATCATTAAATTTTATCAAACTAATAACAATTTGGTATTTAAATACAACAAACTTACAATAAGAATTAAATGGTAAATGATAACCAAATTACAATAACTGATATTAAATGGTAATAAACAAAATTAACTGAAATATTTAAAAAAAAAAGTCCAAAATTTAACAAAATAAAGTAAGTATTAAATGAGAAATAAAAAAATTACAATTAAACAAAATAAAGTAAATACAAATATAATTAAAAAAATCTATCGATGCCTGCGTCGCGAATGTGTTCCGCAGGGCGGTGGCTGTCGGTCTCGAGGAGGATTTCTTCGTATCACTGGTTCTGACTCCTCGCTGTCATCGTCGTCATCGTCACCATCATCGTCGTCGTCGTCGTCGTCGTCCTGAGCAAGTACATTAGGTTGATGAGGAGCTGATGACGATGAAGCACCTCCATATAATAAGGACCTTGGAGGTGTATGACTGACTATCCCACCGGCCTGCGAAAACTGGGAAAACCCAGACATCGCTGAGTGTGAAAATTGTACAGGATGTGTCTGTGCTGTGGCCATGGGTGATGAGGCTGAACCCTCCAAATATCTAGCATATGAACCCCAAGTCGGATCTGCAAACATAGACCCATAATAACCTCCAGGAGGGGTCATCTGTGACGGTGGTGGGGTCATAAAACCAGGTGAAGGCGGCGGCGGTGGCATCTAGTAATGGAAAGGCGATGGCGGTATCATATATGGATGCGGCATCATATATGGTTGCGGTGGCTGCTGGGAAGGTCCTACTGATACAGCTGAGGATGAACCGGAAGCACCTGCTCTCCGTCCACGAGTCGGGGGACGATGGTGCTGTGTCGATGAACGTCTCTGTCGACGTCGTGGAAAGGTCTACCCTCGTACATCCTCGGGAAGTAGAAACGGTTTCCCGTTACTGTTGAACCACTCATAATAATCCTCAGCATACATCAAGAAGTCAGTAAAAATGGGCTCTCTACGTGGAAAGCGACGATGTCGATCCTCCCATAACACGACCCAATCATGATGTCTCACCAGCCAATCTGTATCTGTCTTGCCGCGTCTATCTAAGCTATGCAACTCGTCCATATTGCGAGGTGCTTCCGGAATTGGTTGAAAACAACCAAACTGCCGGAGCACACGATCAGTAGAGTGTCACTCAACGGTCGCATAACAGATCAGAGGGACCATCGCCATCCAAACATATGATGGACCCCTCAACTCAGGTGGGATCACCGCCCTCACATCATCAGTAGAATATGACACTCATTCAAACTAAAACAAATAATATATAATTTTTATCAAAATAATAATCTAATTATATAACTATAATCTAAAATCGATTTTTAAATATCAAAATTCATACATGTGTGCCAGCCTTCTGATCGATTAACACCCTAATTTTTTCTAAATCATCAGGTAGCTCCTGATGATTTTTCCTATCAGTAGACCACCTATTCAAGGAAAATAAATTTGTTATACGCTGTATAAAATTATTAATATACAAAATCAGTTTTATAATTACCTCAGAAGTTGTGGAAATACGAATGGGTTATTCACAACAGGACATAAAAAGGGCAATCGATATCATGCCCAAGACTGCAGCAGCAGGAGACATCCGCCGATAGCATTACGTTTATAGTCAGTGGCTCCACACATCTCCATTTACAGCAAAGCCAAAACTGTCGAGCCCCAACTGAATGATCCGGCGAGACGAAAATCGCTAAGATGTCGCATCCACATGCAGTGAACTAGGTTGCGCGATTTGTCCGGCATCAGCAACCCTCCTATCAACTGCAGTATGCATGCCCGTGCATACATCTTAACCTCATCCTCAGAGGCGTCTGCGCTCAACTCCCGAAAATTTGCATATAACCAATTTAACGGTATCCTACCTCCGATAAAATTTTCTGGGACACGTCATAGACTATCCCGACACAAAGTAGTCCAAGAACCGGAAGCTATCCCCGATATCACATCTCCATCCACCGGAAGCCCCAGGTGCATAGAAACATCCTCAAGCATGATCGTGCACTCTCCGCACGGAAGATGGAATGTGTGGGTCTCCGGCCTCCACCGCTCTACTAAGGCAGAAATCAGGTATGGCTCTATCTTACAGTGACCCTGATATCTACCTATGTAACCGAATCCAGCCTCTACTAAATACGGCAAGACACGGCTGGTTATCACTAACTTAAGATTCCTAATAAAAAGATCTAATACACGGTCATTCTCCTAAAAATAAATAATTACAAAAATTAATTCATACTCTAATAATCATGCATTAAATAAAATAACTAATTATTACTAATAATTTAAATTAAATTAAAACGTTAAAATGTTACCGTATCAGCAAAGTGTCGAGATATTTAATTCTTAATCTAATAATCATGCATTAAATAAATCAACTAATTATTACTAATAATTTAAATTAAATTAAAACGTTAAAATGTTACCGTATCAGCAAAGTGTCGAGATATTTAATTCTTAATATAATAATCATGCATTAAATAAATAAACTAAATATTACTAATAATTTAAATTAAATTAAAACGGTAAAATGTTACCATATCAGTAAAGTGTAGAGATATATGATTTCAACCGAGCGAAGTAGACTGTCTTCCATTATATATCTGTAAAAGAATTATATTAGTAAAATATTAAATAAAGTAAATACATAATAGTAAAAATATTATAAAATATACCTTAAAAGATAGAGTATTTGAGAGAAATTTAGAGAAATTGAGAGAATTTGGTGTGATAAAAGTGATTGAAGATGTGAGTATTTATAGGGAGGATGAGGACATGAAGGGATGGGTATTTAGGGGTATAGCGCGCGCCCTTCACCGCGCTATACCCCACGTGTCATATACAAATGTATAACGCGGATCAGAGGGCGTGCTATACCGTCGTGGCGTCAGATCACCGTATATCGTGGGACAGGGGATGCGTTATACCCACGTGATGTCAAATCAGCGTATAGCGCGGTTCAGGGGCGCGCTTTACTGCTACGAGTGTTAGATTAAAAAATATAATCTGACTAATATTAAATCAGTAAATATACCGATCACTGATGATTTATTGAGAAAATTATTACGGTCTGAATAAAATATTTGTATTCTAGAAAAAAAGATAATTGGCTAAAAGTTTCATTATGTTTTTAACCGTTGATTCAGCGACAAGTGGACTGACATCCCT